ACGCTGGCTCTGAAATGGGTTCCCTCTCTGACCTTGGGTAAACCATTCTGCCTCATTTTTTACCCGCTCTAGGAAATGTTTATGATGATTCACATCGCCTTACGAGAGCTTGCAGTTAGGGGTTCTGAGGATGAGCCGTGGTGTGGAAGCGCTAAATTCTCGATATACAAACCTGTGCACCTTCTTGCAAGTTTGCATCTTCGGTTAATACAGTTCCGTCTGGAGTCCGTCTCTGGCATGAGCCTGGGCTCTTTACTTGCACCTCATCACAGCTCTGCCCGAGGAATGCCTTTTTTTGGTCCCACGATGTTTCTCTGTTGCTTTCTTTTAAGATAATCCGCTTGTTGCAAAACAGACTGTCAGAGGGCAAGTTTATTTAAATGAAAGTGGTTTTTTGTTTCATTGCTCAGAATTACATAGGTCTTTCAAATACATTTGGCAGTTGGAAAATTAATACCTACTGTAATACTATCTAGCAACACAGAAAAATAATGACTCTATGTTCAGTTTAGGGCTGTGCTAGCCCATAAATCGTAGGTCCACAACCCATTTGAGTGCAGGTGTGCAAAAATTAGCTATTAAAATAGTTACTAATAAACTTTCATTATGCTTACACTTGCAAATATCTTAAATATATTCCAGTTTCTTTGCTAGAAAATCCATGCCTTGCCAGTTCACTCGGACACATTAGCAAAGTAATACCCACTGGAGCAATGCTAAATGTAAAGAACCTTTTGCAGGTTTTGAACCTGGTGGCGTGCCAGCGAAGTGGAAGCTTGAGCAGTGCTCGTTAACTGGTGAGGAAAACCGAACACCAAGAAAACTTGGTGAGAGGAAGACTGCTAGGGATGAAGTTTGGCTTCTGGCAACTTTGCAGGGAAGAATGGCTTCTTCAGGGCTCTCGGTTTTGTAAATCACTTTCCTCCTGTGGCTATAGTTTTGAGTTTTCTTTGGACTCTATTTCTATTCCTCATTGAAATGTTCTCATTTCTGCAGTTTTCAGTGTTGAATCTAACCTTGAGACAACTCGATGTTGTTTTCCTGTAGAAAAACCAGCTTCTAGAAAGCTGCGGTTGTGTCTGTTCTGCAGGCAGTTTGGGAAAGCTGGCCTCAGCACAGCAATGAGGGGGCAGAACGAGTGGTTGGTCTGAAACGTTGGTTTTTCTCTTGGTTGAAGCAGCAAAGCTTTCCCAGGTAGCCTGTTGGTGGATAAATAGTGGTGTTGCTTGTCACGGGGAAAAACTAGGCTGTTTACGTGGCCTGGAGGCGTCTGGCCATAGATAAGAACATTGTCTATCAGCAGGTATTACTTTAAAGCTTTCATGGTAATTGGTAGCGATCGGTTGTGAGGCAATATGGGTATTAAAGTATCTTCAGGAGAAGGTGGCTCAGGTGGCATAGCGTGTGCCATAAACATTGCTAGTGATCGAGCTGCATTTGCTTAGGAGACTGCCGGAAGCAATGTTGTGCGTATAAATTTTGCATATTTAACACCATATGTTTAAATTGGGTGGAAAAAAAAAAAAATTGTGCTGTTTGGGATTCCTTTTCAGAATAAAAGGCTAATAAACCAGTCTGGTGGATTGAGATTCCCTTCCGTGTGTACGTCTTGCTCTTTCTCGTATGCTGGTAACTGCTCCCCTCCCGTTTCGGTGTTCCCATCGCTGAAGCAGGAACTGGAACGTGTTCCCACCGTGAAGGTACTGGGGGTTTTCAAAGCAAAAGGGAGTTGTTTCAAGACTGAAGTAGAGCTGTGACTTGAGGCGTTGCACAAATAGATTGTAGACGGATGGCAAACAAACTGGTAAAAGCCTTTATTTTTACTTACCCATCTTGACCATGTGTGCCTATTTGTATCGCGGATGTGGGCTGCAACCGTGCGGGGTGGGAGGGAAACCATGTGTCGGTGTGTTCCGAGATGTACTCGCTAAGCAGAAGCGGTGTCCTCTGCCCGTTCTCCCTTCCCAGATGAATTGTTCTTTGCCAAAATTTTTCATGCCGTTGGGATTGGTCCCACGATGTTTCTCTGTTGCTTTCTTTTAAGATAATCCGCTTGTTGCAAAACAGACTGTCAGAGGGCAAGTTTATTTAAATGAAAGTGGTTTTTTGTTTCATTGCTCAGAATTACATAGGTCTTTCAAATACATTTGGCAGTTGGAAAATGAATACCTACTGTAATACTATCTAGCAACACAGAAAAATAATGACTCTATGTTCAGTTTAGGGCTGTGCTAGCCCATAAATCGTAGGTCCACAACCCATTTGAGTGCAGGTGTGCAAAAATTAGCTATTAAAATAGTTACTAATAAACTTTCATTATGCTTACACTTGCAAATATCTTAAATATATTCCAGTTTCTTTGCTAGAAAATCCATGCCTTGCCAGTTCACTCGGACACATTAGCAAAGTAATACCCACTGGAGCAATGCTAAATGTAAAGAACCTTTTGCAGGTTTTGAACCTGGTGGCGTGCCAGCGAAGTGGAAGCTTGAGCAGTGCTCGTTAACTGGTGAGGAAAACCGAACACCAAGAAAACTTGGTGAGAGGAAGACTGCTAGGGATGAAGTTTGGCTTCTGGCAACTTTGCAGGGAAGAATGGCTTCTTCAGGGCTCTCGGTTTTGTAAATCACTTTCCTCCTGGTGGCTATAGTTTTGAGTTTTCTTTGGACTCTATTTCTATTCCTCATTGAAATGTTCTCATTTCTGCAGTTTTCAGTGTTGAATCTAACCTTGAGACAACTCGATGTTGTTTTCCTGTAGAAAAACCAGCTTCTAGAAAGCTGCGGTTGTGTCTGTTCTGCAGGCAGTTTGGGAAAGCTGGCCTCAGCACAGCAATGAGGGGGCAGAACGAGTGGTTGGTCTGAAACGTTGGTTTTTACAGGCTCGTTGCCCAGCCTCTATTGCTGTGACCGGTGACACCAGCGTATGGACCTGCGTTTCGCAGGTTCGGCGGCGGACTTTGGGCTCGCAGGGTACAGATCCTCCTGTCTGATGTTCTTGTTTCTTCTCTTGGTGTAAGCAGCAAAGCTTTCCCAGGTAGCCTGTTGGTGGATAAATAGTGGTGTTGCTTGTCACGGGGAAAAACTAGGCTGTTTACGTGGCCTGGAGGCGTCTGGCCATAGATAAGAACATTGTCTATCAGCAGGTATTACTTTAAAGCTTTCATGGTAATTGGTAGCGATCGGTTGTGAGGCAATATGGGTATTAAAGTATCTTCAGGAGAAGGTGGCTCAGGTGGCATAGCGTGTGCCATAAACATTGCTAGTGATCGAGCTGCATTTGCTTAGGAGACTGCCGGAAGCAATGTTGTGCGTATAAATTTTGCATATTTAACACCATATGTTTAAATTGGGTGGAAAAAAAAAAAAATTGTGCTGTTTGGGATTCCTTTTCAGAATAAAATGCTAATAAACCAGTCTGGTGGATTGAGATTCCCTTCCGTGTGTACGTCTTGCTCTTTCTCGTATGCTGGTAACTGCTCCCCTCCCGTTTCGGTGTTCCCATCGCTGAAGCAGGAACTGGAACGTGTTCCCACCGTGAAGGTACTGGGGGTTTTCAAAGCAAAAGGGAGTTGTTTCAAGACTGAAGTAGAGCTGTGACTTGAGGCGTTGCACAAATAGATTGTAGACGGATGGCAAACAAACTGGTAAAAGCCTTTATTTTTACTTACCCATCTTGACCATGTGTGCCTATTTGTATCGCGGATGTGGGCTGCAACCGTGCGGGGTGGGAGGGAAACCATGTGTCGGTGTGTTCCGAGATGTACTCGCTAAGCAGAAGCGGTGTCCTCTGCCCGTTCTCCCTTCCCAGATGAATTGTTCTTTGCCAAAATTTTTCTACCTGTCGCAAGAATTGCTTTCTTTCCAGCACAGTAAAACGTCAACTTCTTTCACTGTTCCTTCCCTCTCGTAGGCATCTGTAACCTCTGTACGACTCTGTATAGTACACACAGCGGTCATCAGATCTCTGCTGGCTTTAGATACCATCCAGTTGGGTGTATTGTAAACGAACCGTATTCAGTTGACAAATAAATTTTTTTTTTGAAATGCATATGCGTTACTTTTTAATGTTTTTTCTTTATACTTGGCATCATCTCAATTACGCAGGAGTGGATGGAGATGGAGGTGTCGCTCTGAGCTGGGGGGGCAGCGGGAGGGAGGTACCAGGCCCGGCTGCCCAAAATTTGCCAGAAAACGATTTTCCTTTTGGCCTTTTCTGTTTGATTGGATTTAATGCCATTTAATTTTTTTTTATTTTTTTTATTTTTTAAAAAACAGAGAAGAACTTTGGCCTCTGGGGTTACACGGTGTTGCATGGCGCCTGTCTCGGCATTAGGAGGGGGCTGTGGTGCTGGGCCCGGGACCCCCCAGCCTGCCCC